TTACTACTTATGTACGGAACGAATGACCTCGTTACATTTTTGTGCGCAACCTATTCTGCAGACCTTTCACTTTTCAGACGTGAGTATTAAGACGTACATCGGGTATGTATTCTAGTCAACAAGTGCCTTTTTGGTCAAATTTTTTAGCAGTCTCCACAAATTATAATTACGGTGTCATTCGAATCGGAATGGCATCTAGATGATTTCTGAGAAAAATGAAGTTCTGCTTGCAAACATTGCAAAAGTTATCAACAATTAACTATAAAATAAAAAGGGGTTTAGGTTTTTGCAAACCCGAGAAAAAATATTTATATATAATTATATATATTTATATATAAATTGGTTATATATGAAAAATGGCCAAATATAATCATATCTAATTATTAATTATATATAATTGTGTAAAATTATATATAACAATATTTAATTATATATTTATTACATCTAATTAATTATTGGGTTAATTTTATGGATAGAGTGTTTAATATGGTCCTACACAACTCTGTGTAACCAATCAAAATGCAAAAAAAATGTCTAGATCTAATTTTATGGCTATGACACCAGCGGTCACCCATCCAACTATTAACCCTGCTCAATGCTGCTTAACTTTGGTGATCTCCGTGCGTCTTGAAGTTTCTGTCTGCTGTGCTGCTGTCTTAGACACTAATGATTCTATGATCTACTTAATGTATCATATGAGTTTATCCTAAATATAATATAAAAATTGATTTTATATTATATTTGGATAGTCATAATTCATAATTTATTTATTTTACCGAATTTCATTATAATATAACACTTATTTAAATAATAAAATAAATAATGATTTTACTATTAGGTAGTAGCAGGACAGACAAAACATCTCATCGGAAATGAGACAAAGTTTCGTATTTCGGAATTATTTAAACGTAATTATAAACATTATTTTACACTTTTTGTGATTACCAAAAAAAAAATTTTTTTTAAAGAAACATGTTTTATGTAAGTTAATTATATATATGCATATATAATTATAATATAAATATATATATTGCTTTATTTGCCCATTTTTTATGGGGTACAAACAGCGGACTCCCATTCCACTTACAAAAAATTGTGCTTAAACCTAAATCTTAATCTACATACTTAATTATAATATAACGCTTAATCAAACAGTATTTACAACCTCTCACACACACAGAATGCTCACACTGGCGGGAAAAAAAGAAAGCTATCGTAGCAAAGAAAAACCCGCAGTCATAATCCACCCATACCTCCACACCTCTATTGCACACACACTCAAGAGACCTCCGTTTCCGTTGTATTTTACTACTCGCGACCCCCTTACACCCTCTCCTTGTCCCCCCCATAGCATCTCAATCCCTGTAAGCCAATTTTCTCCTTGTCCTTCGTCACCCAGGACTTTTGATCTCATCTCCTGCCACCCTCTGTCCACCCCTAGCCCAGAACACACCTCCCAGACATGCTCCCACGTCTCTTCTAAATGACAAACTTTGCATAGTCTATCCTCCTTATTCTCCCAGTACCTGCTCCCCTTCAGTGTATCTCCTAATCTAAATCTCGCCACCCTAATCCATCTTTCTTCACTCCATCCTTTTTTAAGATATCCGGGTATTCCTGATCCCTTTATAAATTTGTAATCACTATTACTTCTTGCTTCACTTATCCTGTCCCACCTTTCCTTCTCCTGCCTTCTTTTCTCCAGTCTTACTAACTCCTCTCCTCTCATGCACCCTTCCTCCCAGCTCCTTTCCACCTCTAGAAGACTCCATCCTCTTTCTTTAAAGAAATTTTCCCTTTCTAATTCCCAACCTACCAGACCTCTCCCTGCTTTTATTCTTTTTCTCATCTCCATTCTACATCTCCAAGCTAATTGACCACCTCGCCCTTCCTCAATCCTTTTTTCGTGACCCCACGCTCTCATCCCTGCTTTACCCTTCAACCTGTCCCTTTGCAGCTCTTCCCTTACCAAATAACCAGCCAATCTCCTTGAAACTCCAAGCACCCATCTCAAGTATCTTTCCTGAATTCTTTCAATCTCTTCCCGACATTTCCAACCCCAGATCTCCACCTCATAGTTCATTACCGACCATACTAATTTGTCAAACAACCACAATCTCCCAGCCCAATCCTTACCAAACTTCCTTTTTCCTAAACCCCACACTTGCCCCTTTTACCATTCTCTCTCTCACATGCACTCCCTGATCTCCATTCGCCCTTACCACGTAACCCAGGTACGTGTAGCTACCCACCTCCTCCAAGTCTTTTTCCTTCAATCTCCAAACTATTTTTTTCTTCCTACCTCCACCTTTCCTACACCTCATTATCTTTGATTTTCCTACGTTTACTACCAACTTCTTACTGTCTACGTATCTTTCCAACGTTCTTATCATTCCTCTCATATCCTCTTCCTCTTTTGCTAGTAGAGCAACATCGTCTGCGTACGCCAAGGAGTACACCGTTTTACCTCCTGATAACTCCACCCCTCCCCATCTACCCTTCTCCAGTTCCTCCTCCAGGTCCGCTAGAAATAAAACGAACAGTAAAGGACTGAGAGGACACCCTTGTCTAACCCCCTTTTCCGTCCAGAATTTTTTTCCATACTTCCCTCCTATCCTCACCCTGGCACATGTCTCTCTCAACACCTGTTAACATCTCCTAACCAATCCTAAACTTACTCCCTTCTTAATCAACCCTTTCACTAGCTCATCCCTATCTACCGTGTCGAAGGCCGCTTTAAAATCCACAAACAGAATTACTAGCTTCCCTTTTTTCTTTGCTATCTCTCTATTAATGAGGTAATTTAGAACGTAAATGTGGTCTATCGTCCCCCTTCCTTCCCTAAAACCTGCTTGTGTTTCCGGTAAGATTCCTTTCCCTTCGACCTCCCTCTTAAGCCTCCTCTCCAGAATTCCTACATACACCTTGTACGCAGTCTGCGTAATCGTTATCCCCCTATAATCATCTACCCTCTTTCCATCTCCTTTCTTGGCGATTGGAACTACTACCCCGTCTTTCCAATCTTCCGGCCACCCTTCACCAGCCCAGACCCTCTGACAAATTTTCCACAATTCTAATATGATTTCTTCCCCCCCCCCCATATTTCCACGCCTCGTTTGGAATCCCGTCTTCTCCCATCGCTTTGTGATCTTTCATCTTTTTGACCATATCTTTTACTTCCTCAAACGTGATATCATCTTCTTCTATCTCATCCCTCTCCCCTATGGTATCCTCTTTCACCGAGCTTTCCCTCCTTACTATGTCTTCTTTTCCCCCCAGTGAGTCCCTGAAATGTTCATCCCACTTTTCCATTTCTATATCTGCATTTATTGCCCCTCTTCTTTTTCTACTCTCATTTACCACCTTCCAAATCTGTCCTTCTGAATGTGCATTTTTAACCCGCTCTTCCCATTCCACTAGTGTTGCCATCTTCTTCTCTTTACACATCTTTTTATAGCATTTTTTAACCCTTACGTACTCCTCAGTCCTTATTCTTCCTTTTTGGCATCTTTGTAAGACTTTCCTAAGTTTCCTCTTCTCTTCCCTGCACTCCTCGTCCCACCAGGAAGCGGAAATTTTTTTTTTTAATTTTTTTCTCGTTACGGTATAATTTTATAGACTAAAAAAAAATAAGTTTCTGAAAATTTCAGTTCAAAATCTGAATTTTGAAAGGTCGCTCATAATTTTTTTCAATTTATTAGTGCATTAGTTTAGATTTTTTCGAGTGACCTTTACAATTCGAATTAAAATTCCATGCATTTTTTTTTATTTATCGAGTACCATAATCGATAAAAATACATCACGAGATGAACTAAAAATCAAGCGCAATACAGAAAAAATAATTTTTTTTCAATTTAATAATTTTATTTAACCAACTACCAGGTGTGGGTTCGAATCCCAAGCTGGTCTTAGAAACCAGCTTGGTTGAGATTTGACTTTGCCGAGTAGGTTAAGATTTTTTCAAACGGAAAGTCCTAAATCCTGGAATTGTAGGACCGATACTTATAATTTTCCCAGAGGGATGAAAAGACAACTGAAAGCGAGAGCTCTGGCTTGCGTAAGCCTCACCTATACTTTGGACACTTTATTAATCAAAATTATTTTCACATATTAAGGTATTATCCTCGCGACTTCCGTCGTCAAAAGTTTATGCGAGAGTGTGCGGTACACATATGCCTCTATCAATCTACAGTCAAATGTTAAGGCCGTATATGAGACGTATCTCACTTTGGGCCTCGGAGTAAGAAAATTTGGTGTATTGGATAAACCTCATTTTAACCTCATTTCAAATTTAAATGTCTTTTAGAAATGTCTCATTTTTGTCTCAATCCGGAATATTACGTACTAAATGAGGTTTTTCTTGGCATGAGTTTTAAATGGTGAGGCTTAAACTGAGACAAACCTCATTTTATAGCATTTTGAGACCTAAAACCGTAGTTATTTTTCGACTCGGGTGAACGTTTCGATATCCCGCATACCGTAATGTATAAGAGCATTCAAAACTCAAACTTTGAAATGAAATATCTAAGAAACTAGATGGTCCAAAATTCTCAAATTGTGCCAATCGATGCAGAATTATATAATTATTAATCTGCCAAAGTTTCAAAAAAATCCCAAGAATACGACTCTGGCGACGGTACTACCTTAAATATAAAATTTAAGATAAGAAACAATTAGGGGCTTACTGGATTGATAAATGATCAATAATTCACGTGAAAAAAATTTTGCTCACAATTTTTCAATAAGTTATGCAATAGATAATTAATCATTTTTATAACTTGAACATGTGTAATTTTGATAGTTGTTAAACTATAAATTAGAGATTTTTTTCCCTCTCTTGGAGCAATTCTTGAAAGGCCAGAATAGATCTCCGTAGAACAAATTTAAAAATTTTTATTTTTCAATTTTTTAATAATAATTTTCATTGTTGCAAAATTAAAAATTTTAATTAATCATCGAAAAAAATTTTTTTTTCAAAATATTATTAATGATCCGTTTGTATGTTGTCAGAAGCAGCATTCCGGTATCTTCTTGCTAATTATAAATGCAAAGCACTCCAAATTTCACCTATTACTCTAGTTACATCAGTTTTGGATAAAATTCTTTATCCGGGTAATTGAACAAGCTTTCAAAGGAGAGTCGGACAATTCATGAGCAAGAGAGTTAACCAAAATTATTTATTCATAATGGCGGTAGACTTTAACAAGAATTTAAAACTACATCTGGAGCAACACTTAATCAAGTCCGGGGTGAAAATTATATATAAATTAAGGAAATTTTAGATAATTTTTTTGAATTCCTCAATTTTTCAGTTCTCATTTTCATGGTAATCCACAATATATGTTAGAATTAATTTTTCATCTAATCACCGCCATTGATAGGAAGTCTCTACAAATGAGAAGCCCAGCCTTCACAATTGAATCTCAGAAAGCAGTAGTGGGAAGCCCCGCCCTTTCTGGACGAATCCTATAGTCGCAGTCTTGCCCAAGAATTTTAGTAAAATTTTCGTTCGGTTACTATAGACTCAACGAAATTATTTTCAGAAGTATAAACTATGAAAGAAATCAAATAAAAATTTTTTTTAATTATTCTAGTAGTGATTTCCTTTTTGAACAATAATGTATTTATTTATACACATAAGCAAATATTGCAGATAACATCCACAATTATGTTGTTTGTTAATAACAGAACGATTAAATAGAATATATAATTTTAACTAATGTCACTTTCAAAAACAAAAAAAAACTTTGAAACTCCGAGTCTATAACTTTAAAACTTACGAAAGGGCATAGCCGGATTAATATGGGAATTCTGCCCCCATGGCTTTTTTGACTTACTTAGGGGGTCGATTTGGTGTCGAATGGAAATAATTCATATCAATTTTTAGCTCTTTAACTCCAACGGTATTCGAGAATTTCAAAAAAACCTGTTTTTTCAAAATTATTTTTTTTTTCATAGTAAAATTCGGAATTACTTAATGATGATTTTTTTCCTAATTGTTACGAGTACAAAACATGAAAAAATCATCTGATCATGAATCTCAAACAGAAAATCGATTTTTAAGAGAGAAAAGAAAATTATATTTTTTTTTTTTAGTCTTGAAATACGTCACTCACCAAAATTCGTCAGAAAATGTCTTTTATACTCCTCTATATACTCAGGAATTTTTTGAAGTGGTGGAGCAATTTAAAAAAAAATTAAAAACTCGTTTTTTTCTCAAAATCTTGTATTTTAACAAACTTACATTTTTTTGTAGTTCACACAGGTACGTAGAAAAATTTTTTCCATTTAAAATTATTATTTTGATCATCATTTTTATTTTTTCTGGATCAGAATTCAAGATATTTTCAAATAGTATGAAAAAATATATAAGTATTACCTTCAAGTGTCTTTTGAATCATTAATAACTCTTCTCATCACTTTAACCTACGGATTCTTTCTGTTTATCTTTTGCGAAGATATATTTTGGTAAAAAAAAAATTTTCTACGTACTTATGTGTACTAAACAGAAAGATAAGTTTGTTAAAACACAAGATTTTGAGAAAAAAACCAGTTTTTAGATTTTTTTTAAATTGTTCCACCACTTCAAAAAATTCCTGAGTATAAAGGCTTATAAAAGACATTTTCTGACGAATTTTGGTGAGTGACATATTTAAAGAAGACTAAAAAAAAAAAAATATAATTTTCTTTTCTCTCTTAAAAATCGATTTTCTGTTTGAGATTCATGATCAGATGATTTTTCCATGTTTTGTACTCGTCAGAATTAGGAAAAAAATCATCATTAAGTAATTCCGAATTTTACTATGAAAAGAAAAATAATTTTGAAAAAACAGGTTTTTTTGAAATTCTCGAATACCGTTGGAGTTAAAGAGCTAAAAATTGATGTGAATTATTTCCATTCGACACCAAATCGACCCCCTAAGTATAAGTCAAAAAAGCCATGGGGGCAGAATTCCCATATTAATCCGGCTATGCCCTTTTACGTCTAACCAAATTTATATGTATATAGATATATAATTTTTTTAAACAATAATCTAAGCATCCAATTTAATAAGTCATTCAAGAAATGAATAAGTCAAAAAGGTCTTTAAAATTTATTTCACACTCACCTAATTCTGGAGAAAGGAATTAAGGGCTGGCCGCAACGCGCTATATGTTCGGCCTCTTCCTCCAAGAATTTATAAGCCGTATAAATGTCGTACTGACGCTGGCTTGTAAAAGAACGGCCACGTTTGTCACCTAAAAAAGGGTCCCATTTGTCCTGATCTTTCTTCTTCCTCGGCGATTTTGTACACCTCACTCTTCGCATTCTCTCTAAAAAATTTTACACAGTTTCAACAATTAAATTTCACACTAAGGGCTCTGATGTTACTGAAAATAACAGACATCTGTAAATTATTTGAATTTTTTTAGCAACAACATTGTTACGAAAAAATTGTACACAGAAAAAAAAATAAATTTGAATCAAGAGAAAAATTCTTAAACCAAGTAAAATTTACTGTAACTAAAAAAAATTTCTTGGTTTAAGAATTTTTTTACTCAAATCAAGAAGATTCAATTCTTTAAAATTATTTACTTTATTCAAGTTAATTTTTTTTTCTGTGTAATAAAAAAATTTCACGACTAGAGATTGGAATAAGTAAAAAGTGGAAATTTAAAAAAAATTTTTAATTTATAACAGATTTGTAATAAAAAATTGTCAAATGTCTGCTGATTTCAGTACCATGAACTTTATGACACTGAAATCAGCAGACACTTGATAATTTTTTGATTTTTCTTGAAAACTACTTCTATAGAAATTTAGTTTCTATATAAATGTAATTAAATAAATTCCATTTTCAATATTTTAAAACATTTGAAGATGGAATTTTTTAAATGAGTATTTCTTGTTAAATTTTATTTATTAAAACAATTCTATAAATCATCAGATGTCACTCAATTGCAGCATCATTATTTCACGCAAATTATAAAAAATATAAAAATGTACATCTAATTATTTTATGATACTGAATTTAACAGACATCTAATTACTTCTTGGATTTTTATGACAAGTAAATTGTAATGAAGAAAATTTAGCCAAAAACTTTCACATGTAGAAATTAAAAAAATATAAGTGCTAATTGTTAAAAAAATTTTTTTTATGTTTTTGGTTATAAAAATTTTAATTCAGCAATTGCCGGATATCTGCTAATTTCAGAATAAATTATTGTTTTTTTAATTAAAAATATATAATTACCTTTCTCGATTGCCATAATTTCTAAATAAAATTATAAATTTGTTGACACAATAACCGTGACGTGCAATAATTAATCCGCGTTGAACAATAAAGACAATGGAATGACTCCAACGGCTTTTCAGTTTTTCCACTTGAGCGTCATTAATATTATGATTATGCATTTTTATTATTATTATTTTTATTTTTGATGCGAGCAAAAGATAAGCTACCATTTGTCGATAAAAAAGGAGCACGCTCTTATTCAAACCACGAGAATTGAGGACTACTTTCTTGTGGCGTATTTTGTAACTAAAACCGCGTTGCACATTATTGGGTGGAGAAGGGATGAAAGTCGAAAACACCCGAGCTACACTCTCTGGTTGCGACAACTATATATGTCTGTATGTATACATATTGAAGCATATTCGAGGCTTTATTTACATAATTATTTTGTAGTTATCAGCTTGCAACCATTTGCTATTGTTTTAAATAGATCATTATATTCGACATTGCTGGAAAAATTGATCATAAGTATCATGATGGTTCCGAGGTAAGATAACTCACTGTAGTAAAATAATTCATCAAATTCTAAGTCGAAATTTTAAGCTTGATTTGAACTTAAAGATTTTTAAAAGCTTGGTTTAGACTGTCTCATACTTTCAAAGTTTGAAATTGATTTATTTGGACTTGTGACTTGTCTATTAATTCGAGTTTTTTATTTGTACAAATAAAAATACCAACAATAATAAGATTGTGAATATCTTATAAAGTCTAATTTAAGCTTACATAAACCTATTAAAACCTAAAAAAAAGTCCAAACCAAGCTTTTAAAGTTAAAATGAATTAAAATTTCAAGTTGGCACCATTAAACGCTGATACTAGTATTGATTTACAATATATTCTAGGTAATGTCTGACTTATATCCTGAAAATAGAAGACTAGATCCAGATTATGCTGAAAGAATATTAGATATGATGGATGTAAAGGCAAATAAAAAATTTCTTCAAGCAAAAATAAAATCTGATACAGAAAAAACGGTGTTTATTAAAGATTTACATAATTTAAGCAAAAAAAGAAAAAAAGTAACCCAAGAGAATTGCTTAACGATGGCAGCTGATTATTTGAAAGATAAAGGTAGTAGCGAGAAAAGTTACCACTTACTATGAATATATTCTCATTGTTATTATCTATAGATAATAATAAATAAGAATCCACCAATTTTTTTTTTAATTCATGAACAACAGTTGATATTTATTTTGTAGTTAAAATCAATTAAAATGATTAATATCACTTCCAATTGATATCAGACTGAAAATATGAATCTCATAGATTTTATCAAGTTTATTTTCCTTTTTATGTAGTTGAAAATGTCATATTAGTCATTTAATTAAATATTTTTTATATTTTAATTATAAACAGTACTCTCTCCCTCAAATTTGTTCAGCTTCTTGAATAGATCCATAGTTTGATCATGAAATTACTATTAACTGTTATGAAAACAGAAAGTCAGAAAATATTAAAAGCTCAATAAGTTCAAAATTTTATTATTAATTACTGTAAAATTAAACTTTAATTTATGTTATCACTGAATATTTCTCGGATTACAATAAAAAAATTTCATTTGTATAATTAAAAGACACTAATTTTAATTACAAAATTTTGCTTGAATTTTTTTATGTAACTTGACTTTACAATTGATGACTTTCAGCCTATTTGTTTTACATTAACATTGTTCACAGTATTTAAAATAATTAAAATTTTTTTCGGAGTATTTAATTAAAAATTTTTTAAATTTCGAATGCTTAAAATTATATTTTAAATCATCAAATTTGTCAATAATTTTTTTTTACAGGAGCTACGGTACATATTTTGAAGAAAAATTTGGAATTTATGGGACTGAGTTTTTACACACCAGATATGATAAAAGCTATGGCTGCCTACCCTGAAATAATTTTTATGGACGGAACCTATAAATTAATAGATACTGATTTAACTGTTATGATAATAATAGGTATGGATTCAGATGAAAAAAGCCGAATTATCAGTGTTGGACTCCTGGTAAATGAGCAGTACGAGACGGTCAAGTGGTATTTATCAACATTTATCGAAGAAAATCAACAAGTGATTCAAAAAGTAAATTGTGTGATGACAGACAAAGATTCAGTCGAACGAAAAGTTATTGCGGAACTTTTACCCCATGTTAAAAATTACTTATGTTTATTTCACACACTTCAAACATTTAATAGAGAAATCACTTGCAGCAAAAGAAATATAACAGGTGCTGAAAAAGAGATAGCAATTCGTTACGTTCAACAACTAGCCTACAGTAATTCTGAAACTCAATATAATGAAATTTACAATGAATTCAAGAATAAGGTTCCAAAATCAGTTGTAGACTATTTTAATACAAATTGGCACAATATAAGAGACCAATGGACTTGTTATAGCATGATCGAGGACACAATTAATAATACGACAAATAATAGACTCGAATCCCTAAATGGCAAGGTAAAATAAATAGCTAAGAAATTGAGATCACTTCTTGAATTTTTAGAAGCTTTTTTTATTTTTAAGGGGTCTAAAGAAACTGATACGAATAAAACAATGTTTAATAATTTTTTTAAATGCTCAACAGACGAAGATCTTGACGAATATATGAGAGATTATAGAAACTATCTTACTGAAGCTGGCTTTAAACATTTAAGGCAAGAAATTGGAGGATCGCCACAAGTCAATTTAGTAAATATTGATTTAGAGAATAAAGAATCTTACATTCACTCCAAAGCCGAAATTATAATGATAACAGTTAATACTTGCCAGTGTAAATTTCATAGATCGCTCAAACTTCCTTGCAAACACATCCTTGCACTTCGTGAAAAATGTAATTTATCTTTATTTTCGGAATCATTATGCAACGATCGATGGACTAAAACCTATTATAAACAAAAAATGTTACCTACTAATCAAACATCCGACATTTGTGATTGTAATGATAAGAGAACGAAAATAACAAATATAGAAAATACAGCAGCTTCAAATCAAAAGCATACAGAAAATCAAAATAATTTACGTGAATTGGACGAAATAAAGATACCAAAAAAAACGAAAGGACGTGGTCGAGCGAAAGGTAAAAGTACAAGTGTCATTGGATTACCTAAACAAAGTACTGCAAAGGATAATTCAAAAAATGTCTATAAAATTGCATCCTCAAAACCCACCATAATTTCTAATGAATTATTCACATCAAATCTTAAGATAAAACAAAATCAATTAAACAATGACAGTCCATCAACGTTGAACAATGAGATAGACAATATCCAAGAAAATATATTACACGAGGTAGGCCTAAAGGAATGGATCAAACAGTTTTTGGACGATGTAAAAAAAAAAATAAACAATAAACAGTTCATGAGATATCATTGAAAAAAAAAAAAAAAAAAAAAAAACATCAAAATTAATACAAAAATGATTGTTTATTAAAAATTTCATATTTTATATCTAATATATTTTTGTAGACAAAGAAATAAATTCACTTGGTAATTATTTCATCAATAGCTATTCTGATAATTATAAATATTTTAAAAAAGGTTTAACTTAACAAACTAAACATAACTGGTAACAAATTTTTTGCTCAATTATTTTTTTTTTGAAACATTGCTCTACAAACATCACAAAACCACTCATCAAGTTCTTGATTTTCTGAAATACACTTCAAATGAATCCATTTGAAACAGTATTCACAACAAATAGTCTTACCATTTTTTTTAGAATTGCATTTAATACAAGACCAGATATTTTTTTTAGCTTTAGTTGTCATCAATTTAAACAGAAAGTCAAACGTGTTTTTTTCAAAAAAATCTCTACAATCGATGTTGAAAATATTAAAAATCTCATGACTTAAAAAAGCATCAGACAAGTTTATTAAACTTATATTCAAGTCTTTTTTCTCAATTTTACTGTGATTATCTATGACATTTTGAATTTTTTGATGAGAAATATTAAGCCATTCGAAAATAATTGTCAGTTGAATTTTTTTTCTAGTTCTAAGAACTTTGGGAGACCAATAACTGTATTTATCTTATTTCTATCAATTTCGACCGCATCAGATGACGATGGTTCTAGATCTAGACTATGGTAGGTTTGATGAACTCGTTCAGGTTGTCGACAGTTCTTTTCCTCTTGTTCTCGCGGGTAAATCTGATTATTTTGTTGATCTGTTATAGTCTGCTGATCCTGTTGATCGTCTTCTCTTCGTTGCTGTTGTAGAATAGGCTGGTCTAGGTGATTTAATTCGTTACTGCTTTCTTGATCCAGTGAGCTATGTAGATCCTCTCCATCATAGTGATTCTGTTGATCTGTTATAGTCTGCTGATCTTGTTGAACGTCTTCTCTTAGTTGCAGTTGTAGAATAGGCTCGTCTAGATAATTCGATTCATTACTGCTTTCTTGATCCAATGAGCTTTGTAGATTCTCTCCATTATAGTGATTCTGTTGATCTGTCATAGTCTGCTGATCTTGTTGAAAGTCTTTTCTTGGTTGCTGTTGTAGAATAGACTGGTCTAGGTGATTTGATTCGTTACTGCTTGCTTGATCTATTGAGCTATGTAGATCTTTTCCATCATGATCTTTCTGTCGATCTTGTTTACCTTGATAATTATCGTTATTTGATAATGAAATTGCAGGTAGTTGAGAGTGTTTTGGCAAATCATCAATAACAATACATCTCTGATTTAATGCTTCACCAATAACCGGAATTATATCTCGTTTCCAGTAGGATAGTAAAAGATTCAGAGAGTTTTTTTTAATTTTATGTTTCAATGGACGATGACAATAAATCTTCTTTGAATTGATCAAGAAATAAAATTATTTCTGATTCAATATCTTCATTATCATTGATACCATTGATATCATTATTATTACTTTCATTAATAGTGATACTATTATTATTACTTTTATTAATAGTGATACCATTATTATTACTTTCATTAATATTGTTTAATACATTGACGTTGCTGGTTAAATTAGATGGGAGTACAGAGTCTTCTGACAAACTCCCAGAACTCGTCTCAACATTGCTAGAACCTGTCAAAACATTCACCAATAATTTTAATTTATAATTTTTAGATGCAAGATCAAATGAGTTGTTTATTATTTATACTTACCATCTAATTCCTCAGTAATTGGATGAGAGTGTGCTAGATCAATGGTTTTTAAAATCAAATGTTGTTTATCAGCCATTGCTTTTAATTTTATGACGGATTGACATTTCGAATCCTCTAACCTGAAAAACAATTAATTAAAAAAATCTTATTCAACATAATAATATTTAATGAAAGAAAAAAACTGTTATAACAAACAAAGTAAACAAACATTTTCTCAATCAATATATTGATTTTTATCAATATAAAATGTATTTTTTAGTTACAATATTCAACTACAGTCATATTTATGTAAAAATTGAAATAAAAATATAGATCTAAGAATAAGTATAGCAGAAAAAAATAATAATTACCCGCTACAACGTAATGTAACTTCATAATATTTTATGTCTGCGCTGTAACCTTCTTCAATTAAATTTCTTTTTACCTTATTAATGTAGCATGTTTCCAATTTTTTACTGTGAGGAATTTTATACGTTAAATTATATTTGTCTGTATACTCCTTGAGTAAGACATGAAAGTCATTATAAGACTTAAATGTTTGATTTACTGTTAAAGTTTCCATGGTTGATGATGAAAACTTAACTGCCGAATAAAACGTAATAGAACTCGATTTCTACGATAGGAACGTTTGATTAATATAAATTTAATCAGTATAATAAAGTATGCAAGACTGCCAATTATTTTTCTCAACGTGAAAAAGATTGCGTTACATTCGATAAGTAAAAATAAGATGAATTCTACTCTTGCAACAGTCGATAAAAATAACTGCATTTATATCACACCAATTTAAATTTGATAAATTGTTTTGTTCAGAAATAAAATGAAAATCAGGTTCTTCAGAATTAAATTATTTTTATAGTAATTAAATTATTTTAATTCTGAATTTGAATTGTGCTTAACTTTTCTGAACGGCAGTAACATATTTACTCCAAATTACTCAACTCTGTGACTTACTGTGCTCAATAAAAATTATCAAAAAACTTAAAAAAAAAGACAACTTTACTCAATTCATTCATTACTCTATGCTAACTTTATTCAACGCTAAGTTTACTCAGTTCCAACTGTATTTCATGAAATTTTTATTCAATGGTATTTTATGAGTGATGGCGCGCTTTCAAACATCTCTATCCAATTTTTTTTTGTTTAATAATATGTTTATTTTAAATAAGTTAAAAAAATTTTTAATTAATAATTTTATTGTTAGAAAAATAAAATTCTATTGTTTCTCAAACTTTATTCAATGTCAACTTTACTCAATTACATATAATTTATATATCTATATATAGTAAAAATTATTTTTTTGATTTATTAAATTATTTTATTGGAGTACAGATTGAACAGAGCTGAGAAATTTTGAGTACAGTTTTGTTTTTGCCGAATGAAATATTATTAAATAAAAAAATATTGAATAGAGATTTTTAAAAGCGCGCTATCACTTATAAAAATACTATTGTTAAAAAAATTTTTAATTAATAATTTTATTGTTAGAAAAATAAAATTCTATTGTTTCTCAAACTTTATTCAATGTCAACTTTACTCAATTACATATAATTTATATATCTATATATAGTAAAAATTATTTTTTTGATTTATTAAATTATTTTATTGGAGTACAGATTGAACAGAGCTGAGAAATTTTGAGTACAGTTTTGTTTTTGCCGAATGAAATATTATTAAATAAAAAAATATTGAATAGAGATTTTTAAAAGCGCGCTATCACTTATAAAATACTATTGAGTAAAGATTTCATGAAATACAGTTGGAACTGAGTAAACTTAGCGTTGAGTAAAGTTAGCATTGAGTAGTGAATGAATTGAATAAAGTTTTTTTTTTGAAAGTTATTCAATTTTTTATGTTGAGTACAGTCCGACGCCAAGTTGAGTAATTTGGAGTAAAGATGTGTTACTGCCTGCTGAACTAGAAAGAATGAATTAATATAGAAATAATTTGATCCTGAACAACTGGACTTCCAATTTATTTAAAATTCCTGGGATCTGACAATATTACTTATTATAATGTCAGCAGTAACACATCTTTACTCCAGATTACTCAACTCTGCAACATACTGTACTTAACTCAAAAAATTGAATGACTTTAAAAATAAAAAAAACATTACTCAATTCTTTCACTACTCGATACTAACTTTACTCAACGCTAAGTTTACTCAAAACCGACTGTATTCAATGAAATCTTTACTCAATAGTATTTTATAAGTGATGGCGTTTAAAAATCTCTATTCAATATTTTTTTATTTAATAATATTTTATTTGGCAAAAAAAACAACTGTACTCAAAATTTCTCAGCTCTGTGCAATCTGTACTCGAATAAAATAATTTAATAAATTAAAAAACAAAATTTTTTTACTATATATAGGGGCAGATCCATTATTCTCGACGAAAGTGTGCGCACTCAGGTCAGCGATTTTGATGCCGATTTTTTCCTCAAAAGTACACCTTAAAAGAAGACGATCCTGAAAATTTGGACCCGATATAATCAAATCCGGCCGCTGGAGAATTTTTTGAATTTTAAAAAAAGTCGATTTTTCACTGATTTTCGAATATTTGTATCTCAGCTTCTATATAATTTAAAGACTTCTGCCCAGCGGCATTTTTCTCAGTAGACTCTCTACTTTTAAGAAAAAAAGAAGTATTTGGTCTAAACTCATATAGGGCTTAGCTGACAGCCTCTAACTAATGAACTGTTTTGGTTAAATTTTACCTATTTGTAAAACACTAGTATATGTACAGTGTTTGAAGTTGAGGATCGACCAGCAGCTAATGTCTTCTATTGGGGTATACTTTAGTAGAATATATGCAATTTTTACTTGATTGATTCTATTAAGTAAAGTTATAGCCATCTGAAACCAATCAAATTTTAAAAAATTGCAATTTTCAGATGGTTAGAACTTTTATCTCGGAACTTCGATTTCCTTCAAACTTTCAGGAAAGTCGCTTTATTATATTCCTAAAAAGCCCTGAAAATTTGAACTAGGGAATCGAGCTTGTATTCAAGTTATGGATTTTTTAATATTACCAAAATTGCGTCAAATTTAATAAGGAATTCCTTAATAGTCATCTTTTAAGGAGGAAAAAGTTTGGCAACGCAATAAATTTTATCACGGTTGCGCATACCTTGACTGCTCTATTCGTGTTTGTTATGTGTATATGTGTGTTATGTTTGCAAGTAATGCTATCAAAAATATTAAAATATTGAAGCATTAAAATATTTATTATTTAATTATGTTATATTTTACAATAAATAATAACAATTTTTTAATACTTTTCTTAACCTTTTTGATATTTCTTTTAACTTATTCTATTGAAGCTTTGAATTTCCAGCGTGACCCACCATTTGCGGCGTTGCCGTCAACATAGCCCACATTTACTATGGCTGACTACTTTTTTTAAATTTAGATTTTTCAAACTTAATTAATTTAATAACTAAGTACCCTCAACTTAATTTTATTTTTTCAATAATTTTTGCAAATTTTTTTTCTTTTATAATAAGTTTTTCAAAGCATTCTTATTATTTTTTTATCATGAAATATATTAAAAAAGAGTAAGTGTGAGATCTGGTATGTCATCATAATGTTAAATGACCGATTTTTAATCTTGTTTTATAAATAAACTATGTACCCTAGGTCTCTGAAATTTCAACACAATACGTATTAAATATATTTCTATCGACCCTAAAAATTTTGAATTGATCTCATTATTTTGACTAAACTCCCATACCTCCTTAAATGATGACCATTAAGGAATTCCTAATAGTGATATAAGGGGGATTCCAGGACCGGTTACCATCGGAGTAGGAGTTACCGACCGAGGGTAAATATGGTCGAGGGTTTTTGTCTCGACCATATCGGGATCTGTTTTACCGACAGATGGTGAAGATTTTTCTCGGAAAGTCGGCCATTTCGTGGATGTCAGGCATTTTCGCGGAAGTTGGACATTTTTTCGTGGATGTTGGTCATTTCTTGGAAGGCGGGCATTTCGTGGAAGTCAGCCATTTTGTTTTTTGTGGATGTCAGCCATTTTGTTTTTTGTGGAAGGCGGCTATTTTGATTATTCGTGGAAGGCTGCCATTTTGTTTATTCGTTGAAGTAAGCCATTTCGTGGAAGTCAGCCATTTTGTTTTCTTTGAAATTTCGTGGACACCCCCCTCCCCTTCCTTCCTTCCTATATTAGTTGGAAAAGAATGACGTGACTTTCTCAGAATTTTCGACCTTTCTGCGGAATCGATGACGTCATTTAACAAGTTTGAACTTGTTTTCGACCAATCCGAGTGAAGCTTGAGTAGTGGGGATACTTTTTTGAAGTTACGTTTTTCCTAGAATTTTGGACTTTTTGTGGAATTATGACATCATTCAACAAGTTTGAACTTGTTTTCGACCAATCCGAGTGAGGCTTGAGTAGTGGGGATACTGCTCTATAATTACGTTTATTCCTAGAATTTTCGACTTTTTGTGGAATTTTGACATCGTTCAACAAGTTTGAACTTGTTTTCGGCCAATCAGAGTGAACTATGTGTAGTGGGGATAGTGTTATATAATCTAGCTTAGATTTCACAGCTTCACCGGAGGGGAGAAAATTCATTTTATCATTTTTTAACACGATATTAATTAGAAAAATTAATTAATTTTTTATAGAAAGTTGACATTCAAAAATAGAAAATATGTTCATCTTTTTTAATTGTATTGTTGAACATATTTTGTATTTATTTCAGTGTAAATTTAAAAATCTTCGTCGTTCCATATTAATTTATAAAACAGATAATGTAAAAATAGTGAAATTATAAACAATTGCAAAATTACATTTGACCCGGGCAATATTGTGTATACATTACACAATTATTATTTATGCAACTAATAATTTTATTTTTCTAAAAATACTGAATGTTCACTTAAAGCAAGCTTACTTCAATTTTTTAATTTGATGTTAGCATGTGGATAGTTCAATTGATGTTCTTCATACTTAAATACTTATCTTTTAGGTGCAAATTTTGGATGATTTTGCCATGGATTATAATTTATACTACTCTGCGATTACAGCCAGTACTAACTCATACAGGGCCAAGAAAGTAATGGCACAATTTTGCCGGAAAATGAGCGACTCCAACTACTCACTGAGTGCGACCCAAAGCGACCTGAAATGCGTATCGTAACAGACACAGAATACAAATTGTTTGAATATGTGCCATAACTTAATCAATTAAAATATTCTATTTCACACCGATTGAAACTCATGTATAATTATTAATCAAATAATAATTTCAGTGATAAACTGATCATTGGAAATTCATTATATGATTTTTAACTTGCAGAGATCATGAATAAATTGCAAAAAATCCAAGTCATACCGGTGCATACGGCAAAAGATCGAATATTATCAAATATGAAAAAATGGGTCTCGGATTGGTTAAAATCTAAAAGATCCACCTCTAAAAATCGTGGGCAGCCAAGAAAACAAGAAAGAGACGAAGGCGGAGAGAATGATAATTAATAAATGAAGAAGAGTGAGAATAAATGATGTATGTGATGTTACAAAGTCATAATCTAAAGTTATTTTTAATTTTATTCTTGTTGACTTTAAAAATATTAATATTGTTGAAAGTAAAGTACTTGGTACTCTTTTCTTGCAGAATTTATCATTTTATGTTTAAGAGATAATACATGCGGTATTCCATGCCAAATCGACTACTTTTGAACTCAACCCCTTAAAATTTAGCTGAAACTTTATTATCTTTTCTACCCTTTGAAAAACATTTTTTTTAATTTTTTCTAATTTTTTCATCCAACCCAAAAAAGATTATATGTATCCCAAAAAAATGGCTTTTTTATTTTCAAATAGCCATCACTTTTTAGACTTTGACATTTGGGTATCTTTTTTTTAAAAAAGATTTTTATTTTTGAATGAACTTTCCGAAAAAAAACAAAAAAAAATGTAATATGATCAATCCTATGAAGCAATTGGTTTTTTTTTTTTAACAAAATCGTTCTTTTTTCAAAGTAGGCCACTTAGGGTCGAGTTAAAAAGTGATTGATTTGGCATGGAATACCCCATATACATTTTTGAAATGGATGTAATTTATTTTAGAGTTTATAACAAGTTTGTTGTAATCTTTAAAGTGTTTCATATTTTGTAACACATTTAATTATATGCTTATATCACAATCATTATTTAATATTTATGATTTTTAATCTTGAGGCAATTAAATGTAATAGTTGAATGAATAAATTTTAATAAAAAAATATTAATTGAATTTTTTTATAACAATAATGAGCAGTTCCAAAATAATGATTAAGAAGATAAAATTTTATATAAATAAACATTATTTATATAGATATCCAATATTTCATAAGAATGTATAATATTCTTCGCCAATGTATTATTTTCACACTGATTGTTAGCGGTCAATTTACGTCAGAACACATGCCAAATCACCCACTAACACTAAGTGAAGCAACCGTGATACGCTAGTTTCGGACGAGTAAATTCGAGGTGAATTGTCGGTAAAAACGCTTCGAATAAACGCGTGGTAATCCATACTTCCCCCATACTCAGTCGGTCAATTGACTGTTAAAACGCTCGCAATCACTCACGGTTCCATCGTTTGTCACTCATAGAAACTATGGTATTTCACGATGCGACAGCCATATAAATCCGATTGCTGAACGATGATAATATTTCACAATGTCACTCGAAAATCACCGTCAAATGACCTAAGTTAAACGACTCTTTGACGAAGAATTATTCCATCATCGACCGGGAATCGACTGTTACAACAAAACCGCTAGGGATGTATATGAAATGTGTGACCATTTTATTCGTTATATGTACTACATTTACGATATTGATCAAAAAAATATTCAAGACACGAGTTTTTACACCAAGAACAACGAATGACCGCTAAATTTTTACATTCTGGAATTTCACAGTGGGTACTACAACGATCTCCAAATGCAAAACTTACAGGATTTTCGAATTCGTTTGGTTTTATCTCAACGTAACCACTTTTGAACCAAGAGTACTTGAAAAGATCTCTATATCGAGGAGATGAAAGTTGATTATGAGTAAGCGATTGTAACTTGATGATGTTATTTCTCAAATGTAAATTCAAATCTTGACCCATCAATATTACACTGTCAGAAAAATGTTTGACAAAGTTTTTCCATATTCTGAATCCGAAAACATCAAGTGGCTGAATATTTCCAGTTATTCCTTTTGGTATTATCATTATTTCCAAATTCTTAACAGAGGGTTTGACAGCAGTTACAGCTTCTGGACAGTGTTCAGTCCACGAATCTAATAATAGTAAATTTTTTGAACCAACATTCGGGAAAAAAAACATGTTTCAGCCAAGTTTTGAAGTGGTCTAAAAATAAACATGAAAATGAAAGCAGCGTTTTAAAAATTTATTAAAAAAAAATTAAGAAAACGGTTGACCCTGAAGGCCATCCCTGCAACTTCTCGCCAATTCTATACCTAAACGCTTGAAATTGCACTTATGACGTTTTAGAGCTCTTCGAGCTCATAAATACAATTTGCGTATTATTTTAAGCTCTCCGAGCTCAAAAAATAGCTTTTGAGCTCTTCAAGCTCAAAAGTTTGATCGGAATTTGATAAATCACTATTTTTTGAATTTTCAAATCGCAATAACTTTTTAATGAACGAACCGATTTTCACGCGGTTGGTGGCATTCAACGCAATTTTTTAAGCTTCACGAAAAATTTTTAAGTTTTTATTGATAGAGCGAAAAACACTTTTTTCGGTTTTCTTTCGTCAACGATAACTCACGAACGAATCAACCGATTTTGACCAGACTGGTGGCGATCGACGTGGTTTTTTGATGTTAACAGCTGATTAGTTTTTAGAATTGATCGGTAAAGCCATTTGCAAGTTATTCCAAAAAAACCACTTTTGAAAAATTTTTTTGTAGTTTTTTTGCGATTTTCCAAAATCTACTCGTCCGAATCGTTCCAAAGTATATGCAAAATCTGAGTTTGGTCAAGCCCTTTCGAATGGCACCAACCACGATCAAATCGGTCAAGCCGTTCAAAAGTTATAAGAGGTTTACATACATCCACACACACACACACACACACACACACACACACACACACACACACACACACACACACACAGGACGCGATCAACCTGGTTGTTACTATGGCCCAGGAGGCAATTGCAGGAACCAGATGGAAGGGTGGTACGAAGAAGTACTGCCTGGTAGCAACGTTAGACATCAGAAACGCTTTCAACTCTGCTAACTGGGACTGCATTATGCAAGCTCTTCAAGAGAAGAACGTGCCAGGATACCTGCGTAAAATAGTAGCTAGCTACTTCACGGATAGAGTCCTGAGATATGACAAAAAGAACGGTCCAAAAGGGTACGAAATCACCGGAGGTGTTCCGCAGGGCTCTGTTCTTGGCCCACTGCTGTGGAATATCATATATGACGGGATTCTAAGGCTAAAGATCCCGAGGAATGTTAAACTTGTAGCGTATGCGGACGACGTGGCCGTAGTGATTGTCGCTAAACACCTGGACGAGATTCACCACATGTTTGATCTAGCATTCCAGCAAGTTAACCAGTGGATGGACACAATGAATCAACTGGCGAAACATAAGACTGAGGCAGTGCTTATTACCAGCAGAAAAGCGTTAGAGACCATCAAGCTTAAAGTCGGCGAACAAGAAATCATATCACAACCTTATATCCGATATTTGAGAGTGATTCTTGATGCCCGTCTCAACTTTAAACAGCAAGTGGAACACGTCAGTGCCAAAGCGTCAGTAGTAAGAGCAAGCCTCGCACGATTGATGCCTAACGTCGGAGGCCCAAAGCAGAGCAGGAGACTATTGTTGGCAACTGTAGTCACATCAGTGCTCTCTTAAATCGAAATAGTGACTAGGGTCCACTATAGTGACTATTCACTATTTTTGCAGTGCAGAGTAGATCACTAATTCAAATAGTGGTATACTTTTCACTACTGCTTAGTGAATAGTCACTATTTCATAAGCGAAAGTCACTATTTCGATTTAAGAGAGTGCTTATCTACGGAATATCCATTTGGGCCGATGCGCTAGATTTACAAGAAGCATGGAGAAATGCTGGACCTACGATATACTTATCGTCTGAGTGCCCTCAGAGTAGCTTGCGCCTTCCGCACAATATCTGAAGAAGCAGTGTGCGTCATTTCTTGAACTCTACCTCTCAGAGTCCTAGCTGAAGAAAGACGGAACCTTTACCAACGAAAGAGGTCAACAACACTGAGCGCAAAAGATCTCAGAACAGAACAAAGACAGCACAGCATCGCACGATGGCAATCTCAGTGGGATACCGCAGAGAAGGGTAGATGGACGCATCGTCTCATACCAAAGATCGACATTTGGCTGAACCGGAATCACAGTGAGGTCAACTATTACCTAACGCAGATGTTGTCAGGACATGGCTGCTTTCGGGCTTATCTTCACTGCTTTAGGCATGACGATTCTCCGGAGTGCCCGTCCTGCCCCGGAGCCACTGAAGATGCAAAGCACGTTTTTTTCGAGTGCTCGCGTTTCAATCAACAACGTGAGGAGCTGGAGAAGATCCTGAAGAAGTCAATTCAACCAGAGTCAATCGTAGAAGCAATGCTGTCTTCAGAAGCTGCCTGGAATGCAACGAACACTTTTGCCACAGAAATGCTTACAGAGCTGCGTTCCATCGAGAGAAAAAGAGCAAAAGACAGAATCTAGAAGGAAGAAATAACATCTTAGCCACCAGAAGGAAGAGCGGCAGCTAACTCCTCCCCCCGCGAAGAAATGCCTTACGGTGGTACTATGGGGGATCAGAGGATAAAAGAGAAAGGGGTTTAGGATTTAGTGGATAGGGGCATCAGCGTCGAGTTTTAGTATGACACTGCGTCGAGTCGACACATATCCAGGCCAAACAGCTAAGCCTAGAATCCGTAAAAAGAATTCCCCCCCCCCTAAGGGAAAAAAAAAGAAAAAAAACACATACACACACACACACACACACACACACACACACACACACACACACACACACACACACACATACAGACACAACCGCGGGAATGGTCAGGGAAGCTTCTTAGGACCTCGAAACGTCGAGATTCGATGAAAACTTGATTTTCGTAAAACGGGGTGAAAACAATA